CAGGGCGGGCCGGGTGGAGGGGGGGGGGCAGGGCGGATTGTTGCATTCGGCCTTGAGTACTTTAGCGAGGGCATTGTTTTAGATGATGCGTTTGCAGCCTTTGGCTCTCAGATGTGATGATTTCGCACAGCCTGCAGAAAAAGGTTTTGTCTGCCTGTCAAGCATGGAGGCTGCTGAGTTCTGTTGTGTTTCACGGCGTCTGCAGCTGGGCTATACAGAAAATGTTTGGGATCAGTTAAGTCAACCCGATGCGCAGCGGGAGCTTGAATTTCATGCTACCAGCAACATCCAAGGCATGTTTTGCAGCCTGATATTGGCATTGCTGCGAATTCCTTTTGCTGGTCAAGAAAATTGTGCCGGAGTGGAATTCTTTGAAGGCCACGTCACGCACACACGCTCTCATGAGGCCAGCCACGCTTTTAAGTACCCAGTACGCCACTCGGACGCAGCCTGCAATTCAGCTTCACATTCAAACAGTCAACAAATTCGTAAGTGTTCTTTTAAGCATTTAAGGGGGAGTGGCGGAGGGAATACAGTACCATCATAGAGGATCATAACGTAAAGGTTGTTATAGGGATCCGCCCCACTCTCTCTCAAGCACCAGTAAATCTTGAAATACCTCATGTTTTGTGCCCAGGGTTCTTGTCAATGTCAGTGCTCGTGAGCCTCAAGGCAGCAATGTGTTCCAGCCGCGGGTGACAACTTGACCTCACTAAATCCTTTCCCCTAATAATGAACCCCTAGTAGCAGATTTTTCCAATGTAGTACGGATATACACTCGGGGGAATATTTGTTGTCGTTCAACTTAGTACGGATACATACTGGGGAATATTGATTGTTGCTGGGGGCGGGGGGGATTTCTAGGTCGAGAGGTTTAGCATTGCAATCCAAATCAAGCAAATTGACACCTGCCTGATCATGAAAACGACGTGGTTGTTTCATTTGTTAAGAAGAACCCACCATTTGTTGCACTCAAACCACCCCTGACGCGCGACTTTTGGAAGCCGCGATGTTTCCCCCTGCCAGCTCCAACCCTGAACCCGGCCCTACACCTGCCAGCTTGTTTCCGAGTGCTTAATGTGATAAGGTTGTCGGGGTGTTTTTGCCATCATTTTTGACATCATTGCATACGATCGTCGTGGCCACTCGCATCTCCTAAGGCATGGCTCTTGTAGACTTAGACACGCCGCCGGACTGGTGGAAAGAGGAGGGCTGCGAGTTTCAGATTTTGCGGGGCATTTCACAGGCTTGAATGTAAGGCATGTGTTTCCAAAGTTCGGAATTGCAGTTGCTTTAATTGCCAGCTCCTGTTTCGCGAGGGTGCGTGTTTCTCTTGAGCTTGTTCTTGTGTTTGCTTAGCGCGATTTTTTATTTTTTTGATTTCCTGCAGATTTTGCTGCTAGTTCACATTGGCCCGTCAGCGGTGGCTATCAATGGTTTTTGGATAATAAAAACGATGAACCCGTTGAAAAAAGAAACTCACTCTT